AACAAACAGCTCAAACTCAAAGATTAAACTCAGCATCAGATTGTTGCTATGGTAACAAAACAATCTGACTATGAGTATTATTTGAACTTTTATAAAGTAAACTTGCCAGCTCCTTCAAATCTTGCATTTAAATGTAAGAAATGTAAATGAGGCTCGTCAGGGTAGAGTTAGTAGCACTAATAGCAGTAATGACGGTGGCGGACTCACAGCTCCTGCCGGTAGCGGCGTAGCTTGGCCTTGCTGTCGGCCAGCTCCACAGCCAGGTGCTGCTTCTCCTCCTGGGTTGGCTCGGTTCCGGATGGCCCGCCCTTCTTCGGGGCTCGGTCAGGCTTCTCACCTCCATCCAGGGGCCGCTGGTCGGACAGGTAGTCCCTCTCCAGGGTGAGGTCCAGGATCGCCTGGGGGACGGGACAGAGGTTCTGTTGGACCTGTGGCTCGGAAAGAACCCGGCCGGACGGGACAGGCGCCTCCGTACCTCCGTGGCTTTGTCTCGCTGGTCGATGAGTTGCCGTAGCGACGCGGCCATGTTGCGGGACAGCGGCTCCAGCTCCTCAGGGACAAGCTCGGCTCCATCCTCCATCCAGGACAGATCCAGGACATTCAGCGGGTTGTGAGTGACCTGAAGCAGAAGCAGATTCACTCTATGGATGAAGCTAAGCCCCGCCCCTGGATGAGACTAAGCCCCGCCCCTGGATGAAGCTAAGCCCCGCCCCTGGATGAAGCTAAGCCCCGCCCCTGGATGAGGCTAAGCTCCTCCCTCTATAAGCTCCTCCCTCCTTGCTGAGGTTCTGACCTCCTGGATGTGAGACACGATGGCGGCCTGAGTCTGGATATCCAGCAGCTTGATCTTGTCGATCATCTCCTCCTTGCGCTCGCTCTGAGGACAGACAGGAAACATCAGCAGGTTCTGGCGCCTCATGGCATAAACTGCTGTGTCAGCGGTTGCTATAGTGATTCAGGGAGGGGGGACATTTAAACCTCAAACGGCGTGAAAGCTTTACGTCAGAACCACCTGCTGGTCCCACACAGAAATTACTGGGTCTGCAGTGGTTCTGGCAGATTCATCAGAACCTGCAGGTCCAATCAGAGCTGGAAGTCAGTGACTCTGCTCTGGGCTGTGATTAGACAGGATGGTTCTGATGGAGGTCCCAGCTGGCCCAGTTCAGTTCTTAGCTGAAGTTCTGAGCTTTTCTGGCCAGTGTTCCCAGTGTTCCCAGCTGGGCTCTTCCTGTTCCAGACTGGAACAGGTTTGTTTAACAAATTCCTGCCGGTCCAAACAAAGACCCATTCACACATGTTGCCATGGTAACCACCCCTTTCCTGGAACCAGTCGGACCAGCACAGGAAACAAAGGAAGAAACAGGAAACCCCCACCTGATGCTCAGGTTACAGCCAGAACGCTCACGCCACACCCCCCAGTGGAGCCCCGCCCACACGGAGCCCCACCCACACGGCCAAACTCACCTGCACGGCGCAGCCCAGCAGCAGCAGCAGCAGGCGCTTCAGCTCCTCCATGCTCCCCACTGAGGGGACAAAGCAGACTGTTAGTGGGAGCAGCAGGAGCGTTGCCTGGTTCCCCAGACGGCACTGGGGGCAGAACTCCATGTGGGTTACCTGACATGGGGTCGTTGGCGATGAGAAGGATGTTGGGAGGAGGCATCACTACCAGCTGCTGCAGCGTTTCCTGCAGGAGAACCAGGAGGAGGTTCAGACCAAGGTCACCTTCATCATCATCATCATCACCTTCTTCACCTCCTGAGCCATCACAAAAGGTGATGGCTCAGGAGGTCAAAGGTCAACCTAGCAGTGGGGCTTCGACAAACCATTGGAACCAGATCAGGTCTGGACCAGTCGATACCAGACCACCTTCCTCATTTACCCTTATTCTGTCCAGGAGTCACATGACCAAACTGACCTACAGACTGCAGAACCAGAACCGGGTCTGGACTCAGAACCGAACAGTGACACAGTGCAACCAAGCAGACCGGTTCTGACCCAGCCAGCAGGAAACAGCTGCAGTCTGGGTCAGGAAGTAGCAGGGAGGGAACGCTCCCCATTTCTCAACATCCGGCCCCGGTCCCAACACCTGCACACCCGGAGCCAGATCTAGGGCCGGGAGGCAAACAGAGGAACCGGGTCACAGGTTCTATTCAGAACCAGCGCTGTCCGGTCATGGAGGATCAGTTGACTGCAGGCGCTCTGGTTTCACCAGAACACCCACGCTGAATAAAACATGGCAGCTGGCGACCAGACTGCCCATAGGCTCCGCCCACATTGAGGCCCCGCCCTTATCGAGGCTCCGCCTACCAGGCCT